ATGCATATCTGTATTCCCAGTCATGTGAAATCCATCGATTAGGGCCTAATTTATTTATTTAAATTGACTGATTTTCTTTGAAATTGTTGCATGTTGCCTTTTTAGTTTTGTTTAGTGTATTTTGGGATGTAAACAAGAAATATGAATCACTGTTGATACATCCTGTTCTGATCTAATGAGATCGATGTCATGGAGTACAGAAACATGCAGGTGTGCCCCTCCCTGAAGACCACTACTGAATATCCAAACGCGACTTACAGTCATGCGTGCAGACATTTTTGTGTATGGGTGGTCCCGGGGATCGAACCCACTACCCTGGCGTTACAAGCGCCGTGCTCTACCAGCTGAGCTACAGAGGACCACAGGTTAGGGTATGTATTCCATGTCAGACGTTTCCAATGCCACTTCAACTCAACATCTTAGACCCCAAAGGTTGCCAGGTCAAGCTGTTTCTCGTACATACAGTACATGAAAATGATGGACGTTTAAACAGAGTAATGGGAAAAATAGGGTGGTGCAATTATTATTATTTTTTTTAATGAGTAGTCTTGAGTGAATAACATAAAATCCCACTTTTGTAATGTGCAATAGGTTATGAAAAGCATCAACAATTTAACGTGACCTAATGGTGAGAGCGAAAGTGACAGATGTAATGATGACGTGAGATGAGAATATTGGATTATTATATACATTATTTAATTCAAGTTCTCTCTGTACACACAATTGCTTAAAATATATATATATATATATATATGAATGAAGAAAATATCCATGGAAGGGTGATCCAAAAGGGAATGTTAGTTGGGTGGGTCTACACAGTGAAAAACATATCCACATTTGGATTTGTATTCATACACATCTATTCCCTGCTCTTAAGCAAGAGGGCTGAGCGTATTATATCTTCCATGGTCAGTGGCGGCTCCTGAAAAAATTCTCAGGGGGGGCAATTTTTCTGATGATTTAGGTGACCTACACACATTTTAAAAAAGATATGTCCAGCAACAACATGAAGACAGGGGCAGCATATAAGTCAATACCAGAAGCATTTATTGACTGATCTCAAAAGTGTTGGCTTACCAGGGTTGGTGGAGCCCACAGTTTCATCTTTGCCTCGCAAAGCTAACTCAAACACTCCGCAAAACTTCACACACTGGATTAGCCGGCTGAGGATGTGGCGGTTCTTGCTAATGTCGTAGTAAATATATTTGTTATAGTGAATATGGAATATGATATGTTGAGTAAAATGTTGTGCTAAGATCTATTTAGGTCAGGAGCTGGTTATAAGTTCTGTTCCTATCCAATAACAATGGACAAAAGGGTCCTATCTTGTCAGCCTTGTCAGCAGGTGGCCAAGGACAACACCCACGCCATAGGCCTCTCAGTTCTTCCAACTCACGAGTTCTTGCTCTGAGGACACACACACACACACACACAAACACACACACACACACATCATCACTGTTAAACACACACACCACACACACACACACACACATCATCACTGTTAAACACACACCACACACACAAAAATCCCCTCTCTTAGGCTGAACATTTGAAGACAGAGAACCCGACTCAGAGCCAATGCAACAGTGACAGTAGCCTGGAGGGGACCTCGCCCAACTCATCAGGACCAATCAGATCAGAACTACTAGATTCAACCTACTTCATTTATTGCATAAAATGTCTGCACACAATGTTTCGGGGCTCTCTTCAGATAATAATAATAATAATAATAATAATATGCCATTTAGCAGACGCTTTTATCCAAAGCGACTTACAGTCATGCGTGCATACATTTTTGTGTATGGGTGGTCCCGGGGATCGAACCCACTACCTTGGCGTTACAAGCGCCGTGCTCTACCAGCTGAGCTACAGAAAGTGGATACTCATGGATGCGCATCGCAATTGTAAAATGTCAACACAATTGGAGACACCACGTCATTTTTGGAGACATGTTATTGACAGTAAACTATTGTAGATGCGACTGCTAACTAAATAAAACATTTTAGCTGGCTAGCTAATCATCTTAGCTAAATGTGGGGCAAACAATTCAGTTATTTACCGTTAATTTGAGGGATTGGGGTGAAAGAAATCGAGTTACATAGTGATACTTTACGATATACTGTATTGACAATATCGCAATATTTTAGCGCTAGTTGGCTGTACCTGCACCAAAACACCATTATTGTTCCTTCATAGCTTGTTCTCAATCTTTTCACATTGGGAGCCAATTTGTTTTCAGCACTTTTATTTCCATGACTGATCAAAACTCGTTCTCATGGCTTTCTGATCCCTCTGCAACAGACATATGGTGCGCAATAAAATCACAGTATCGAATCGCAATACGTATAGAATCATGAGACTCGCAATGCATATATCTTATCGTGAGGTTCCTGGCAATTCCCAGCCCAAGTTCATTTGCCACAACAAATCTCTTCGCTAGCAAACGCGATGTCTTCTCCAAAACGGCAATGTGTCTCCAGCAATGTTTACTTTTTTGACGTTCTATGGCATCTCCACTTTCCAAGCATATATGACCACATGTAATATTTTGGTAAGTGATGCAAATAGTGAACTATGTAGGGCCAGGATGTAAAATATATGTAGCTCCCTAAGAGTTTGACGAACGGGGTCCGTGCACGCGATTCCAGATATCTTTACCTCTGAATAAACTGCCTTTATTATACCATATCCACCCTGTCCAAAGTCTCTACTTGGTCTCAGTTCTCCAGTAAACTTGTGATTATCAACACTAACCTCATCGTTGTGGCGGCGGACAGCTAGCCTGTATCCCTCATCCAGTTGAGTGGCAATGTTATTTTTTCGTTCGTACCAATTTTTGGAAAATCCTCGGGTGTAGGACTTTCCGCCTTTAGTAGAAACCTGTTGAATTATTAAATTTGGTCTGGGAGGTCCTAATTGTTTCGTTGCCAATTTATCTTCATTTGTTCGCCGACAAAAAGGAACTTCTTTCAAAGACACAATCGAGTTTGCACTGAAGCCTAGCCATTTTGACAGTAATAGTGAATTGATTGACGCTGCTACCCGCTATTTTCTTAGTTACGTTCATGGTTACGTTACGTATGACGAAAGCGCGTAAGTGCAAGCCCTCAGACACCCATAGAGATTGTATTGAAAGCTCTGAAATTTGAAAAAAATAGATTTTACATGGGAGTCTATGACAGACTTCTGGGCGATTTTCAACCTGACTGAAATCGCCCCAAAAGGGGGGGGAGCCATTTGAAGCACGACTTTAGCCTGATTGGACATTTAGTGGCAGTGTGGCACTGTGGCAGATCAGACGTCTAGATTACAACACTGATAACTACTGTTGCCGTGATATAATTGATTAGAAAAAAAATCCCTTCCTTTTCCCGTTTGGCAGTGCGTCGCCCATATCGCCCTATTGAACACACCGCCCCTGTCCATGGTCTTAATAACTTAAATGGATTAAGTTTTGACCAGTTCAAAGCCAGGCTGAAACTCTCCCCCAAAATAGTCTTTATCAACATATTGCCCTTTCAGGTTAGAAAGTGGTTTAAACATCAAGGAGTAAAACTGTGGGTTAACTGAGACCTCTGTGGGTTAACTGAGACGTCTGTGGGTTAACTGAGACCTCTGTGGGTTATCTGAGACCTCCGTGGGTTAACTGAGACCTATTCTTCGTTTTTCGAGGAACGGCCTTGCATGTAACGCCATCTCTCGTGAGGTATTAGCTACAATATCTGCTGTACAGAAACCATTCCACAATGGGTGGTCCCACATACACATAGATGTGCAGTAGACTCCTCATGCTATAAAAACACCTGTTGCCAGTCAACATGCATGAGGACCTGTCTGCCTGTCCTCTGATCATGCAGGTAACACCAGTAGTTTAATCCTCTATGCTGTACAGAAATACAGAGATGAAAAAAAGCAGAAGTCAATTTTTAAAAAGCATGAGTAAAAAACCCTGTCCAAGCTCTGTCCCACTCCCAAAATAATATCACCCAGGAATACACTGGCTACTACACCTCTCCTTCAGCTCCCCTCCCCTCTCTTCTCCTCTCCTCTTCAACCTCATCCTCCACTCTCACCCCAATCTAGGTTGTGACCTTCTCCGTTGGCAATGGCATCATGGAGTCCCTCTTCCCTCCTCCCCAACATGGGTTCTTAACATGCCTGCCCCATCTGGTGGCGGGGCGCTGGAACAACAACTCTGTGTTCCGGCCCAGACTGGGGAGTTTCTCTGGACTCCACAGGTAAATCGTGGGAAAGTCATTGGACGGCCACACTCCAGGTGGGGGATCAAGATGCAGATGGTTGGATGGCAGCCGTAGGTACAGTTGGCCAGGGGGTCTTGTTCCGCACCGCCGGTCCGCACTCTGGGAGCAGCCCCCCTCAACTGGAGACTATGAAACAGAGAGAGTTCAGGACCAGACTCTGTGATCTTGGAAATCAAGGTTCTTTACTAAAACGTTACTAGTTTTAGTAAGTGAGACAGTTGTTTTGCTGTTTCACTACATGTTATCCTAATGCGTGGTGCTGTGAGCCACTGACCTGTGTTCCTCCTCAGCCTCAGGCACCAGCAGATGGCATCTAGGTTTTAGGACTACAAGCTGGCAAACTCTATTATCACAGACAGAAGGTGTAACCCATACATGTCACAGGCTCTATAAAGCATCCGCTTAGAACGTTTTCTCACCACCAAAAATGGGAGTTTAGAAGGAATGCAAGGTCGAATTGAGTTTGTGCACAAACGCACTTCGCAAAGGAGGCGTTACCTAACGGAAATATGCAAATATATGCTACAACGCGCCAATACAATAGGTTGTCGCTAGCGGGTGCTTGGATTTGCCCACCTCCTTGCTTATTCTGCCCAATAGGCTTAATTTGCTCCCACTGTAAACGACACAGATGTTAGTTATAAATATCTTGGCTATTACCGGCTGGGCACACATCAATCCTAGACGATAGTGCAGATCTATCGCCCTCTATCGGCTGCATAGGCATAATCATAATGACTTCGTGGCTGTGGTAACTAGAGTACTAGTGACGACCGCAGTCAAGCTAACAACAACACAACAGGTTTAAAATATGTTCACATCGAATGAACTAGCTACAAATACCTTCAACAACGGAGAAAATTGAGGTCTGTAGCTAGCTAGCTATATGTTATACATTTGTGTAAGTTGTGTAGCTAAGCCAGCTAGCGTAGTGACGTTATATTTAGGTTGATTTGATCGCTAGCAATGCTAGCTGTTTAGCTTGCTGCTTTGCTCTCGATTTCAATAACTAGTTCAGCTATTGAAAAAACTAGAAATACGACGTTACTTAGCATTTTATTTGCACTTTTCACTGAAACTACAAAGAGCCTTCCGGGTTTAAACCTTCTCTGGTAGCCAGTTAGTTGGTACTGATAAGATACTAGTTCGCGTTAACTAGTTGGTAAACGAGACGAGACTTGGATGGCCTCGCGATACTACTACTAACTATGTAGTTAGCTATGGCTTTGGTCGTTAGGTTAACTAGCTGGACCCAACACTATCTGCCAAGCCGTGTTGTTGTCAGTAGCTGACAGTTGCAATGTAGCTAACTAGCTAAGGTTGGGCTACTAAACTTGTCACCGTTGTTGTTTGATTACTATACTAGATACTTTCTGCAGGAGTGTCCAGTGCAGTGACTAACTACTAACTAGTGAACTACATATTATGATGCCATGGAGGATAGGAAGCTGAAGAGAAAGATTTCCAGGCCCTCCACCAACCAGGCCCCTGCCCCACCAACCAGCACCCGGAAGAACACAGCCCCTGGACGTCATCTGGGCTTCAGCCACATGGGTACACATGCCAGCCAGAAGGGGAAGAGCCGCAGGTAAGAAACATAATCATCTTCATCATCTGGATGACTTGAAGATTAACTGCTTTGAGGTGAAGTTCTTAATTGTGTGTGTGTGTTGTGTGTGTGTGTGTGTTTTGTGTGGTGTGTTGTGTGTGTGTTGTGTGTGTGTGTGTTGTGTGTTGTGTGTGTGTGTGTGTGTGTGTGTGTGTGTGTGTTTGTGTGTTTGTGGTGTTTGTGTGTGTGTGTGGTGTGTGTGTGTGTGTTGGTGTTGTGTGTGTGTGTGTGTGTGTGTGTGTGTGTGTGTGTGTGTGTGTGTGTGTGTCAGGGGTGTGAAGGCCAGACAGCAGCAGGCTTCAGGCAGTAAGTCAGGCCAGGGCCAGCCGGACCCCATCCAACACTCCTTCCTGACAGACGTCTCCGACGTGCAGGAGATGGAGAAAGGACTGCTGAGCCTCCTCAATGACTTCCACAATGGAAAACTACAGGCCTTTGGTGAGCTGTGTGTAAAACTACAGGCCTTCGGTGAGCTGTGTGTAAAAACTGCAGCCTTTGGTGAGCTGTGTTTAAAAACTACAGGCCCTTCGGTGAGCTGTGTGGTAAAACTACAGGCCTTGGTGAGCTGTGGTGGTAAACTACAGGCCTTTGGTGAGCTGGTGTGTAAAACTACAGGCCTTTGGGTGAGCTGTGTGTAAAACTACAGGCCTTTGGTGAGCTGTGTGTAAAACTACAGGCCTTTGGTGAGCTGTGTGGTAAAACTACAGGCCTTTGGTGAGCTGTGTGGAAAACTACAGGCCTTTGGTGAGCTGTGTGGAAAACTACAGGCCTTTGGTGAGCTGTGTGTAAAACTACAGGCCTTTGGTGAGCTGTGTGTAAAACTACAGGCCTTTGGTGAGCTGTGTGTAAAACTACAGGCCTTTGGTGAGCTGTGTGTAAAACTACAGGCCTTTGGTGAGCTGTGTGTAAACTACAGGCCTTGGTGAGCTGTGTGGAAAAACTACAGGCTTTGTGAGCTTGTGTAAACTACAGGCCTTCGGTGAGACCAGGGTTCCAGTGGCTCAGTGGATAAAAGAGCATATTACCTGTCTGTGTCGGTGGAGTTTTACATAAACACTATCTATGACCTCTCTTTTATCCCCTCTCCTCGTACCCTCCCGCTTCCCTCCCTCCCGCTTCCCTCCCCCCGCTTCCCTCCCTCTCCTTCCTCCCCCTTCCCTCCCTCCCCCCTTCCCTCCCTCCCGCTCCCTCCCTCCCTTCCCCCCCTTTTCCCTTTCCCTCCCGTTTCCCCTCCCTCTTCCTTCCCCCCCCCTTCCCCCCCTTTTTTCTTCCCTCCCTCTTCCCTCCCTTTCCCTTTTTCCCTCCCCTTCCCTCCCCCCCTCTTTCCCCCCTCTCTTTCCCCCTCCTTTTCCCTCTCCTCCCTCCTCTTCCCTCCCCCCCCCCCTCTCTCCCTCCCCCTTTCTCTCTCCCTCCCCCCCTTCTCCCCCCTTTTTTCCCCTCTTTCCCCCCCCCTTTCCCCCCCTCTCTCCCTCCCCTTTCTCTCCCCCCTCCCCCTACCCCCCCCCCTCTCCCCCCCCCAAAACCCCCCCCCCCCTCCCCCCTCCCTCCCCCCCCCTCTCCCCCTCCCTCCCTTCAAACCCCCCCCCTCTCCCCCTCCCTCCCCTACCCCCCTCTCTCTCCCTCCCTCATACCCCCCCCTCTCTCTCCCTCCCTCTACCCCCCTCTCCCCTCCCTCTCCCCTCTCCCTCCCGTCCCTCTACCCCCTCTCCCTCTCTCTCTCTCCCTCCCTCTACCCCCTCTCTCTCCTCCCTCCCTCTACCCCCTCTCTCTCCCTCCCTCTCCCTCCCTCCCCCCCCCCCCCTCGTCTCTCCCCCCCCCCCCTCTACCCCCACGTCTCCATCTCGCTCCCTCCCTCTCCCCCCCTCTCTCTCTCCCTCCCTCTACCCCCCCTCTCTCTCTCCCCCCCTTCACCCCTCACTCATCCCCCTCTCTCTCTCACACTTCCCCCTCTCCTCTCCCTCCTCTAGGTAATGAGTGTTCTATAGATCAGATGGAGCATGTGAGAGAGATGCAGGAGAAGTTGGCTCGGCTGCACTTTGACCTTTATGGGGAGGTGGATGAGATGCCTGACGACCAGCGGAAGACTGCCTGCGACTCCAACATGGACAAACTACTGCTCAACGTAAGATCTGGCAATAGTTTTTGTTAAAATACAGTGTCTTGCAAAAGTATTCAGTCCGCTTTGTGTTAGAAAGTGGGATTACAATGGATTTAATTCTCAATTTTTGTCAACAATCTACACAAAATACTCTGTGAAAGTGGAATATTTGTTTTATTTTTTTAAAGATAAAAAATTAAAAATAATATCTAAAATCCAGGAGTTCCATAACTATTCAGCCCCTTTGTTCAGGCAAGTCTACATTAGTTCAGGAGTAAAATGTGGCTTTCAAAAATCACACGATAAGTTACATGGAAATAATAGGGGTGGACATGATGTTTGAATGACTAACCCTTGAAAAGACCAGGGAGCTTTTCAAAAGCCTCATAAAGAAGGGCAGTGATTGGTAGATGGGTAACAATAACACGAGACATTGAATATCTCTTTAAGCATGGTCAAATTAATAATTATGCTGTGAATGATGTATTAAACCACCCAGACACAAAGATTCAGTCGTCCTTCTGAACTGAGCTGCAGGAGAGGAATGGAACTACTCAGGGATGTCACCACGAGGCCATTGGTGATTTTAAAACAGCTACAGAGTTCAATGGCTGTGATGGGAGAAAACTGAGGATGGATCAACAACATTGTAGTAGGGCGATATCGAATTAATGTTTTTGCGCGATGTTCCAAATGCCTGTATCGCAAGAATCAAAGTTGGTATTTTTTCCAGTTTTTATGCTGTGTCTGTTATGGTCTCATCTCCTTTGCTCCTTCGGTGCTGTGAAACCAAGCCCCTCCTACTGACACCAAGCCCCTCCTACTGACACCAAGCCCCTCCTACTGACACCAAGCCCCTCCTACTGACACCAAGCCCCTCCTACTGACACCAAGCCCCTCCTACTGACACCAAGCCCCTCCTTCTGTGCTGTGTTCACTGAGCTCCCCTCCTCCTGACACCAAGCCCCTCCTACTGACACCAAGCCCCTCCTACTGACACCAAGCCCCTCCTACTGACACCAAGCCCCTCCTACTGACACCAAGCCCCTCCTTCTGTGCTGTGTTCACTGAGCTCCCTCCTCCTGACACCAAGCCCCTCCTACTGACACCAAGCCCCTCCTACTGACACCAAGCCCCTCCTACTGACACCAAGCCCCTCCTTCTGTGCTGTGTGCACTGTGCACCTTCCCACTCGCACACAGACACCAAGCCCCTCCCCCCCCGCCGCTCAACAACAAAAGACGAAATAACTTCTTCCTCTCTGACAACAAGCAGTTTAAACTCGCTATTTACATTTGAGGTTTGGTCCAACAGAACATAGATATAATTTGACTGTAATAGAGGAGAACTGAACCTTTTCTAACGATACCCTTTTTATGTCTCAACTCCCAAAATGGAGAACGGAGCAGACCCTACTGAAACGAGAGTATCAATGAACATGATTGTGGAAAATGAATGTTCTGTTTGTCGCGCGCGGCATTGCGGTACCATATACCGCGTGTTACGGTCCCCAGGTAGAAACCAAAAATGGCGCTAAAACAGTCACTAATAACAACCAAAACGAAACAGGTGGGGTTTTAGGAGGGGCTCTGAAAGACACTCATGGAGGTGTCCACTGAAAGATGACTAGCAACAACAACTGGGACCTAAAAGACAGCCACCATGAGCGCACACTAAATCTGCCCAAGAAGAGGCAAACAAACGAAAAAAAACAACAACGAGTAAACCAACAAGTGGAGCAAAATGAAAACAGGAAAGATCAGATGAAGGATTGTTTTTTTAAGAAACCAAATCGAGAGCGACAACTAAAGGTTGTTAAACTGGGCTAGCCGCTCTTAAAGTGGAACTGACAGCATTTTAGCAACATGAAATCTTACTAAAATCTGTTCATTTACACCCCCAGGAAGAATGACAGTAAACAGCCCCAGACCATTATTCCTCCTCCACCAAACTTTACAGTTGGCACCATGCATTGGGGCAGGTAGTGTTCTTCTGGCATCCGCCAAACCCAGATTCGTCCGTCGGACTGCCAGATGGTGAAGCTTGATTCATCATTCCAAAGAACGCGTTTCCACTGCTCCAGAGTCCAATGGCGGCGAGCTTTACACCACTCCAGCCGACGCTTGGTATTGCGCCTGGTGATCTTAGGCTTGTGTGCGGCTGCTCGGCCATGGAAACCCATGTCATTAAGTTCCCGACGAACAGTTCTTGTGCTGACGTTGCTTCCAGAGGCAGTTTGGAACTCTGTAGTGAGTGTTGCAACTGAGGACAGATGTGTGCCCTACCATTTCGCGGCTGAGCCGTTGTTGCTCCTAGACCTTTCCACTTTACAATAACAGCACTTACAATTGACCGGGGCAGCTCTAGCAGGGCAGAAATTTGACTAAATGACTTGTTAGAAAGGCGGCATCCTATGACGTTGCCACGTTGAAAGTCACTGAGCTCTTCAGTAAGGCCATTCTACTGTCGATGTTTGTCTATGGAGATTGCATGGCTGTATGCTCGGTTTTATACACCTGTCAGCAACGGGTGTGGCTGAAATAGCCGAATCCACTAATTTGAAGGGGTGTCCACATACTTTTGTGTGTGTGTGTGTGTGTGTGTGTGTGTAGCATGGGCAACGTTTCCCATCTTCTCGAAAGTATATCTGCTGTTGTGAATGTCAGACTCCACTCTGTGAGGCACACAGATCTGCAGGTTGAACATGGTGAGATTGTAGACTCCTAAATTGATAGTGCAGTTTGTTTAGGTGATTTTACAGCTAACTAGCTACTTTTACATGCTGATATTGTCTTCAGTATTATTGTGTGTAGCCACGTTTTGCTAGCCAGCCAGTCAGCCCATAGAGGGAGCGTTGCATTGAGAGAAGATAGTGAATGTTCCTGAGTGGACAAGTTACAGTTTTGACTGAAATCTGCTTGAAAGTCTGTTAAGACTTGAAAACTGCAGTCTAGCCACGATTCCCAACATCTTGACAGAGCTTGAATAATTTTTAAAAGAAGATTGTACAATCCAGGCGGGCGAAGCTCTTTATAGACTTCCCCAAGAAGACTCACAGCAGTAATCGATGCCAAAGGTGTTTCTAACATGTATTGACTCAAGGAGCTGAATACCTATGCAACATATATATATTTTATTTTATTTTTTATTAATCTTTTTTTTAATGTTAGAATTTTCTTTCACTTTTAATCCCACTTTGTAACACAATAAAATTTGAAGAAATCCAAGGAGTCTGAATACTTTTGCAAGACACTATATATTTTTTTTAAGGAGTGGGGCAATTCCACTCATCATGTGGGTTCTAACCCATGCTGCAGTCGTATATGTGTTCTGGAAGCAGTGGCTTAGACCACTAGACCACCTTAAAGGTAGACTCTGCGAAATTACGTTGCCATGAGCAGCACTGCAGATATTGATATGAGCGAGATGAAAGACTTCACTCACAGTCACACACTGTATCTGGTGGTTGGCTTCACTGTGTTCGCCGCGTGGTAGCCAGGGCACCAAAACAGCGGAGAAGTTGATCCTCTCTTAGTTGTTTGCGGAAATTGACCCGCTTTGCTGTTTACCTTCTGCATCTACGTCATATCCCGTCTATCTTTAAGTGCTGTGTTGGATCTTAAATTCTGTTAATACTGTGCAAGTACTTGATAGCAATCTAGGCCCTAAAATCCCAACACACAGGGCTAGCCTCCCTCAGCATGTCAAACAGTGATTTCTCAGTTTTCAGAAGGCCAAAGCAGGGCTTAATATCCAGATCTAAGTCTTCTCATGTGAGAGCAAAGCCACACACACACCTCATGCTCTGTGAATGTATCTTGGCTCAATGTTAGCGCAATGGAATGAAACATCTCAATGTTAGCTCAATGGAATGAAACATCTCAATGTTAGCTCAATGGAATGAAACATCTCAATGTTAGCTCAATGGAATGAAACATCTCTGTCCTTCTCTACAGCTAGAGGAACTGAGTTCATCAATGTATCCTTTTAAAATACTTGTGTGGTGTGTGTGTGTGTGTGTGTGTGTGTGTGTGTGTGTGTGTGTGAGGGGTGTGTGTCTTTGAGCTGTTGACTTTGACCTGATTAATTCTAGCTCACAGTTTACAGATAAACTTAAGAAATGCAGACTTAATATAATAAAACAATTGCAGATATTACAGGACTTCACGTACTGTAGTTACATAATAGAGGACATTTCTTTGTTATGTTCTCTGTGGGGGGGGGGTGTGAGCTCAGAGCAGAGTGAGTGGGGTGTGTTTCAGCTGTTCTCCTTGACTCCTCTCCACAAGTCAGAAGCTGAATCTGGCAGACAGCCAGGAGATACCCAGGACAGCCAGCATCTGAGTCGGTCTGCAGTCAACGGTCTCAGCTCTGATCTGAGTCAGTCTGCAGTCAACGGTCTCAGCTCTGATCTGAGTCGGTCTGCAGTCAACGGTCTCAGCTCTGATCTGAGTCGGTCAACGGTCTCTACCATCCCCTCCTCTCCTTCCTCCCCTCCCCTCTACCATCCCCTCCCCTCTCTCCTCTACCATCTTCTCCTCTACCATCCCCCTCCCCTCCCCTCTACCATCCCCTCCCCTCTCCTCCTTACCATCTTCCCCTCGACCATCCCCTTCTCTCTCCCCTCTACCATCCCCTCTCCCCTCCCTCTACCTCCCCCTCTCCCCTCTACCATCCCCTCTCCCCTCCCCTCTACATCCCCCCCTCTCTCTCCCACCTCCCCTCCTCGCCCTCTACCACCCGGCCTCTCCCCTCTACCATCCCCTCCTCTCCTCCCTCTACCATCCCCCCTCTCTCCCCCTCTACCATCCCCTGCTCTCTCCCTCTACCATCCCCTCCCCTCCCTCTACCATCCCCTCCTCTCAGCCTCTACCATCCCCTCCCCCCCCTCTACCATCCCCCCCGCCCCTCTACCAGCCCCTCCTCTCTCCCCTCTACCAGCTTCTCCTCTCCCCCCCCTCTACCATCCCCCTCTCTCCCCTCTACCATCTCCCCTCTCTCCCCTCTACCTCCCCCTCCCTCCATCCCCCTCTACCCCCCTCCTCTCTCCCTCTCACTCCCCTCGACAACCATCCCCTCTCTCTCCCCCTACCATCCCCGCCCCCCCCTCGACCTCCCCATCCGGCCCCCCTTACAAGCACTCCCGCCCCTCGCATCCCCTCCCCTAGACCACCCCCTCTCGACCTCTAGCCATCCCCGCCCCCCCCTACCACCCCCCGCGCCCTCTACCAGCCCCGCCCCGCTCCTCCATCCCCTCTCCCCCCCTCTACACCATCCCTCCTCTCCTCCTCTACCTCCCTACCCTCCCCCTCTACCATCCCCCTCCCTCCCCCTCTACCCTCCCGCCTCCGCCTCCCCTCTACCATCCCTCCTCTCCCCTCTACCATCCCCTCTCTCTCCCCTCCCTCTACCTACCATCCCCTTCCTCTCTCTCCTCTACCATCCCCCGTCCTCTCCCCTCTACCATCCCCTTCCCTCCCCTCTACCATCCCCTCCCTCTCCCCTCTACCATCTCTCCTCTCCCCTCTCCTCTACCATCCCCTTCTCTCTCCCCTCTACATCCCTCCTCGTCTCCTCTACCATCTTCTCCTCTCCCCTCCCTCTACCCCCCTCTCCCCTCCCCTCCTCTCCTTGGGGCTAAGGGTTTATGGGATTGAGCCTAATCACCATCCTCCACTCATCTGCTCAAACACACTGCATTTGTATTGAACTGAGTTGCACATATTTGCGAGTTTGTTTGACTTTGGAAACTCACTGCACATGTGCACACGAGTGTTTGGCCAAATGTTGTTGCCTTTTTCCGCCTTACTTTTACTGTTGCCTTGGTTTGAACCAGTGTTCCATTGAGATATATATTTCACCTTCTACACATATCTTTGTCTTATATGCAGGTGGAATGCAATAATCATATTTGAAGCTGCTTGATTGTCAACCTTTTAATTTGAGTAATCCTGTACATTACAGATGGGGGGGATTGTTACTTAATGGGGGGGGGGGGCCTTGTTATGATTTATTTTTCTCAGTTTTAGGAAAGTCAATAAAGAGGAAATTCTAATGACTGAATCACGTGTTTGTGCTTTCCTCATGGAAATTCTAATGACTGAATCACGTGTTTGTGCTTTCCTCATATGGATGGATGGTAATGATGTATGTTTTCACCTGGTGATATTATTTGTGGAAGCAGCAACACATCTTAATAATGTCGAAGACTTGAATTTCGCTTCAGGGACAATAATGTCCACTTACTTTTGCCGCGCCCACAAGTGATGTATTTCAGCAAAGGATTGTTTGTGTAGTAATTTATCAGTGAAAGATCAGATCATGTGCAGTTCACAGGCCGATCCTGTTGACCAAGCAGCCTGTGTAAGCCTAGCCTACTCGGTAACCAAAGCCGCGCACTGTACGAACCCCGACACGCCATGGGCGAATCTGATTTGTATTCCCTTGGTTCCTCGTGTCCATTCTGGTCACGTCTTCAAAACCTATTGGATGAGAAGGTCGGAGGGGACGGACCGCTAACGTGTGTGTGTGTGATGGAATGCTGCCCGCGCCTTGTGCTGTTGCTCCTGTTATTCCGTCTCTAAGGAGACGGGACAGATTGTTGGGTAGGAGAGTAGGTTAATAAATTGCACTTTATATTCATACTTGTGCAGGTCTGTGGAATTATTTTTGGAAATTACATTGCATAGGATCTCCTAGACCGGCCAGTTTAAAACACAGCGGTGATTAATTACCGCTGTATCATTTTTTTTATCATAGTTTTAACTGGATTATTGACAGAAGAAGATTTTACCCGCACTTTGTTAAGACTTAATTTGAACCACACAAACAATCGCCTATAAAAGTCGCACGTAGTCTACCAACTTTAATAAAACAGAGCGTCTTCCGGTAGTATCCTCAACTGGGCCAACCCACCCATAAAATGACGTCCGTGGATCTGACCGTTCGGTCCAGTCCAAGTCCTAACCCAGGTCCTCACCGCGTGAAACAGTGGCAACTGAGCGGGACAGACTACCAACCCCAGCCGGCCCTGACGCATCGCAGCTCGGTCACAGGGACAGCCGACAGCCGCTTCAGTGCCTGGACCCCCATCACAAACAAGACCTCCAACCACCAGGTCAGCCAAGTGAGAGAAGACAGTCAATCGTTTTCCTTTTCTTTATCCTTTTTGTTATGCTTTTTCACCACCTTGGCCTTCCCTACTAAAAAACATTTACATTTGAGTCATTTAGGAGATGCATTTTTGTACTTTTGCGTACTGGTCCGCTGTGGGAATCGAACCCACAACCCAGCGTTGCAAAGGCCATGCTCTACCAACTGAGCCACAAGGGAAAATCCCCATATAATTCGTGCATCTATTAATTCTAAGCTACTATATTTTTGCACCAAAAAAAAACAACCATTCAGCGACCCTGCCATTGTGCCCTTGAGCAAGGCACTACAATTACTCTGGGGCCAGCTGACCCATTGCTTCCAGCCCCTCGGGCTGTGCTCGTGTCTCGGGGTAGGCTGTGTCAAATCAAATTGTGTTTGTCACGTGTTTAGCAGATGTTATTGCGGGTGTAGCGAAATGCTTGTGTGTGTCTCGGGGTAGGGTGTGTGTGTGTGTGTGGTTGTCTCGGGGTAGGTGTGTGTGTGTGTCTCGGGGTAGGGTGTGTGTGTGTGTCTCGGGGTAGGGTGTGTGTGTGTGTGTGTGTGTGTGTCTCGGGGTAGGGTGTGTTGTGTGTGTGTGTGTGTGTCTCGGGGTAGGGTGTGTGTGTGTGTGTGTGTGTGTGTGTCTCGGGGTAGGGTGGTGTGTGTGTGTGTGTGTGTCTCGGGGTAGGGTGTGTGTGTGTGTGTGTGTGTCTCGGGGTAGGGTGTGTTGTGTGTGTGTTGTGTGTGTGTCTCGGGGTAGGGTGTGTGTGTGGTGTGTGTGTGTCTCGGGTAGGGTTGTGTGGTGTGTGTGTGGTGTGTCTCGGGTAGGTGTGTGTGTGTGTGTGTGTGTCTCGGGGTAGGGTGTGTGTGTGTGTGTGTGTGTGTCTCGGGGTAGGGTGTGTGTGTGTGTGTGTGTCTCGGGGTAGGGTGGTGGGTGTTGGGTTATTAGCATAAAGACACATTTCCGTCCCCTGTAAGTTAATGCAGTCTACATCTTATTTTATGACCTGTCAGTTGTTTGAGGAGCGGACGACCCTGGTGCTTCACTGGTTTGACCTTTGGACTGACCGCCAGAGAAAAGTCTTCCTCCAGGCGCTGCTGTCTCAGTGCTCCAACTCCCAGCTCAAGTAAGCACTTCTGACAGACAGGACTGTTATTATTGTTTACCTGGATCCCCATTAGCTTTTGCAGAAGCAGCAGCTACTCTTGCTGGGGTCCACGAAAAAAACAAAACATGACAAGTATCAAAACACTGATACTGTTAGACAAGGACAGTCACACAAATGTAAAATACAATGATATAAAACTACAAAAATAATGTGTGTGTGTGTGTGTCTCTGGTCTTGTCCCATCTCTTGTCAACCCTCAACCAGGAAAGACTATCATGCATGTTGTTGATGTTAGTTCTGTGTGTGTGCAGTTAAGGGCAAGGCGTGCTGCTCTGTTTTGAGCCAGCTGCAGCTTAGCTAGGTCTTTCTTTGCTGCACCTGACCACATTACCAGACAGGAATCAAGACGGGACAAGACCAGAGCCTGAATAACTAGTACAGTTGATGTTTGTCTAAAAAAACGCAGATCATCTTTTTATAACAGACATACCCCTCTCCCCATCTTCACAACTTTCTCAATATGACTTGACCATGATAATTGACCATCCAATGTTATACCTAGGAGTTTAGCTTCCTCAACTTGCTCAATGGTCACACGCCCTCTTTATGCACAATTCCAGTTGAGGTCTTAGGGAATGTTTTACACCGAAGACGGTGCTTTTAGTTTTAGTTGTATTTAAAGACCAGTTTATTATTGATCACCCATTCTGATACTGACTGTAACTTCTTATTTAGAACATGTAGAGTGTGGAATTATCCGCATACATAGTCATTCTAGCTTTGTGTAAGACCAGTTGCAAATCATTTGTAAAAATAGAGAAGTGTAATGGCCCAAGGCAACTGCCCTGAGGGACACCACACTGTACATATCTGATGTTAAAGAAGCGTCCGTTGAAGAACACTCTCTGGGTTCTATTGGATAAATAACTCTCCAACCATGTGACTCTCTGGGTTCTATTGGATAAATAACTCTCCAACCATGTGATGGCAGGTGATGTAAAGCCATAGCAAGTGAGTTTCTTCAATAACAATTTATGATCAATAACATCAAAGGCTGCACTGAAATATAACACTACAGCTCCAACTATCATCTTATTATCCATTTATTTTAACCAATCATCTGTCATCTGAGCCAGTGCAGTACAAGTTGAGTGCCCTTGTCTATATGCATGCTGAAAGTCAATAGTTAACTTGCTCTCTGAAAAATAGCGTTGTCTGTGGTCAAACAACAATTCTCTCCATTAGTTTAATAAGAACACGCAGCAAACTGATTGGTCGGCTGTTAGAGCCAGGAAAGGGCGCTTTACTATTTTTAGGCAGTGGAATTTACTTTAGCTTCCTTCCACGCCTGTGGACACACACACTCCTTTAGGCTTTGGTTAAAGATCGAGCAAATAGGGGTGGCAATACAGTCTGCTACCATTCTCAATGGTTTCCCATCAAGGTTGTCTATACCTTGATGGATAACAATAGTTTTTCCACCTCTCCCACACTAACTTGACCAAATTGAAAACAGCAATCCTTCTTTCATTATTAAATCTTTTATACAAAAATATGATGGTTCAAATCAAATTTTTATTTGTGACATGCGCCGAATACAACAGATGTAGACCTTAACGTGAAATGCTTACTTACGAGCCCTTAACCAACAATGCAGAGTTTTAAAAAAAGTAAGAAACATTTGCTAAATAAATTAAAGAAAAAATAGTAACACAATAAAATAACAGTAACGAGGCTATATACAAGGGGTACCAGTTCCGAGTCAATGTGCGGGGGCACCGGTTAGTCGAGGTAATTTAGTTAATATGTACATGTAGCTAGAGTTAAAGTGACTATGCATAGATAATAAACAGAGAGTAGCAGCGTAAAAGAGTGTGTAGCCATTTGATTAGATGTTCAGGAGTCTTATGGCTTGGGAGTCTTATGGCTTTGGGGTAGAAGCTGTATACAGAAGATAGCCCAAGTCCATATTATGGCAAGAACAGCTCAAATAAGCAAAGAGAAACGACAGTCCATCATTACTTTAAGACATGAAGGTAAGTCAACAAGGAACATTTCAAGAACTTTGAATGTTTCTTCAAGTGCAGTCGCAAAAACCACCATGCATCAGGAATGGAAGACACAGAGTTACCTCTGCTGCAGAGGATACGTTCATTAGAGTTACCAGCCTCAGAAATTGCAGCCCAAATAAATGCTTCACAGAGTTCAAGTAACAGACACATCTCAACATCAACTGTTCAGATGGGACTGTGTGAATCAGGCCTTCATGGTCGAATTGCTGCAAAGAAACCACTACTAAAGGACACCAATAAGAAGAAGAGACCTGCTTGGGCCAAGAAACACGAGCAATGGACATTAGACCGGTGGAAATTTGATTTTTGGTACCAAATGCCGTGTCTTTGTGAGATGCGGTGTGGGTGAACGGATTATCTCAGCATGTGTAGTTCCCATCATAAAGTATGGATGAGGAGATGTAATGGTGTGGGGGTGCTTTGCTGGTGACACTGTCTGTGATTTATTTAGAATTCAAGGCACACTTAACCAGCATGGCTACCACAGCATTCTGCAGCAATACGCCATCCCTTTTGGTTTGGGCTTGGTGGGACTATCATTTGTTTTTCAACAGGACAATGACCCAACACACCTCCAGGCTGTTTTAAGGGCTATTTTACCAAGAAGGAGAGTGATGGAGTGCTGCATCAGATGACCTGGCCTCCACAATCCCCCGACCTCAACCCAATTGAGATGGTTTGGGATGAGTCGGACCGCAGAGTGAAGGAAAAGCAGCCAACAAGTGCTCAGCATATGTGGGAACTCCTTCAAGACTGTTGGAAAAGCATTCCAGGTGAAGCTGGTTGAGAGAATGCCAAGAGTGTGCAAAGCTGTCATCAAGGCAAAGGGTGGCTACTTTGAAGAATCTCAAATATATCAAATATAATTTTTATTTGTTTAACACTTTTTTTGGTCACTACATGATTCCATATGTGTTATTTCATAGTTTTGAAGTCTTCACTATTATCCTACAATGTAGAAAATAGTTTTCAAAAAGAGAGAAAATCCCTTGAATGAGTAGGTGTGTCCAAACGTTTGACTGGTACTGCACATGCAGGTAGGAGTAAAGTGACTATGCATAAATAATAAACAGAGAGTAGCAGCTGTGTGGTTTTGTGTGTGTGTGTGTGTGTGTGTGTGTGTGTGTGTTGGAGTATCAGTGAGTGTACACCGAGCCTGTGCAAGAGAGTCAGTGCAAAAAATTTAAATAATTAAGGGGGTCAATGCAAATAGTCTGTGTAGCCATTTGATGAACTGTTCAGCAGTCTAATGGCTTGGCGGTAGAAACAGTTAAGGAGCCTTTTGGTCCCAGACTTGGCGCTCTGGTACCGGTTCCCATGCGATGCGGTAGCAGAGAGAACAGTCTATGACTTGGGTGGCCGGAGTCTTTGACAATTGACACCGCCTGGTATGGAGGTCCTGGATGGCATGAAGCTCGGCCCCATTGATGTACTGGGCCGTATGCACTATCCTCTGTAGCGCCTTGCTGTCGGATGCCGAGCAGTTGCCATACCAAGCGGTGATGCAACCAGTCAGGATGCTCTTGATGGTGCAGTCTGAAACTTTGCATACACACTGCTTCCATCTAGTGGCCAAAATGTAAATTGCGCCTACACTGCAATATTATATTGTGGCCTTGCTCTTGCATTTCAAAGATGATGGAACAAAAAATAAATAGAAAATGCATGTTTTTTTTGTTTGTATTATCTTTTACCAGATCTAATGTGTTATATTCTCCTACATTCATTTCACATTTCCACAAACTTCAAAGTGTTTCCTTTCAAATGGTATCAACAATATGCATATCCTTGCTTCAGCTCCTGAGCTACAGGCAGTTAGATTTGTCATTTTGGGCAAGAATTTGAAAAAAAAAGGGTCTGATCCTTATTAAGGAAGAATGATATAGGGATTTGAATAGGAAATATGTAGTGCTCAGCAGTAGTGAAAAGTCCCAATTTATCACTCATTGCTACTTAAATGACTACATAAATCACTACTGGTTTTACTACACGTCAATAGCAATCAAGTAGTACAACCAGTAGGTTTACTGTGTAGTAATGATGTGTAGTAATTCAGTGGGCACTGACTCTGTGACCCTAGGTCCTGCAGGGATTGGCTGAAGCAGATCGTGCCGGTGACGCGCAAGGACTTCACCTCTGTGTTGCCACGGTTCCTGTCTCTCTATGTGATGTCATTCCTGACCCCTCGTGACCTCTGCTCTGCTGCACAGGTCAGCTGGCACTGGAGGGTCCTGGCCGAACAGGTGAGGGGTCAGGGGTCAGGGGTCAGACTCTCCCCCTCTCTCTCTCCCCCCTCTCTCTCTCTCCCCCTCTCTCTCTCTCTCCCCCTCTCTCTCTCTATTCCTCTTTCTCCTTTTAGTACTGTGTGTGAGGTTAACCTATGCCCCCCCCCCCCCCCCCTCCCCCCACACACACCTCGCTCTCCGTAGGACTGTCTTTGGTCGGTGAGGTGTGTGCGACGGGGCTGGTTCCTGCCCTATAATCCAGGGGACAGAGAGTATGGTGGGTGGAAGAGCCACTATGTGTCCTGTGTGTCCACTCTGGACTGGCTGACCCCCAGAGAGGCAGCACAAACGTACGGCACCCTCAACATGCCCTGCTCAGGAGAGAGGAAGGAGGAGGAGGAGGAGGAGAGACGCAAGGAGAGGAGGATCAGACAAACCATCAGGGAGAGAGTGGAGGAGCAGAAGAGTGAGTGAGAGGAGGAGTTGAGGAGAGGATCGGCTGTGTGGTCCTGTGTGGCCCAGTTGGTAGAGCATGATGCCAGGATAGTGGGTTCGTTTTTCCCGGGGTTTGCACACATCAAATCACATTTTACTTGTCACATGCGCTGAATACAACAGGTGTAAATGCCTTACAAGCCCTTAACCAACAATGTAGTTTTAAGATAATATTGTTAAGAAAATATTTACTAAATAAATATTTTTTTAAAATTAAAAGTAATACAATAAAATAACAATAATGAGGCTATATACAGGGGGTACCGGTGCCGAGTCAGTGTGCGGGGGTACAGGTTAGTCGAGGTAATGTGTACATGTATGTAGGGGTAAAGTAACTATGCATAGATAATAAACAGCGAGTAGCAGCAGTGTAAAAACAAAGGGAGGGGGGCGGCATTTGATTCAATGTAAATAGTCTGGGTGGCCATTTTTGATTAATTGTTCAGCAGTCTTATGGCTTGGGGGTAGAAGCTCTTAAGGAGCTTTTTGGACCTAGAGTTGGCGTTTCGGTACCGCTTGCCGTGCGGTAGCAGAGAGAACAGTCTATGACTTGGGTGACTGGAGTCTTTGACAATTTTTTGGGCCTTCCTCTGACACCGCCTAGTAAATAGGTCCTGGATGGCAGGAAGCTTGGCCCCCAGTGATGTACTGGGCTGTATGCACTACCCTCTGTAGCGCCTTACGGTCAGATGCCGAGCAGTAGCCATACCAGGCGGTGATGCAATTGGTCAGGATGCTCTCGATGGTGCAGCTGTAGGATCTGGGGACCCATGCCAAATCTTTTCAGTCTCCTGAGGGGGAAAAGGCGTTGTCGTGCCCTCTTCACAACATTATTGGTGGGTTTGGACCATGATAGTTTGTTGGTGATGTGGACACCAAGGAACTTGAAACACTCGACCTGTTCCACTACAGCCCTGTCGATGTGAATGGGGGCGTGTACAGCCCTCCTTTTCCTGTAGTCCACGATCATCTCCTTTGTCTTGCTCACATTGAAGGAGAGGTTGTTGTCCTGGCACCACACTGCCAGGTCTCTGACCTCCTCCCAATAGGCTGTCTCATCGTTGTCTGTGATCAGGCCTACCACCGTTGTGTCGTCAGCAAACTTAATGATGGTGTTGGAGTCGTGCTTGGCCACGAAGTCGTGGGTGAACAGGGAGTACAGGAGGGGACTAAGCACGCACCCCTGAGGGGCCCCAGTGATGAGGATCAGGGTGGCAGATGTGTTTTTGCCTACCCTTACCACCTGGGGGCGGCCCGTCAGGAAGTCCAGGATCCAGTTGCAGAGGGAGGTGTTTAGTCTCAGGGTCCTTAGCTTAGTGATGAGCTTTGAGGGCACTATGGTGTTGAATGCTGAGCTAGAGTCAATGAACAGCATTCTCACATAGGTGTTCCTTTTGTCCAGATAGGAAAGGGCAGTGTGGAGTGCGATTGAGATTGCATCATCTGTGGATCTGTTGGGGCGGTATGCGAATTGGAGTGGGTCTAGGGTTTCCGGGATGATGGTGTTGATGTGAGCCATGACCAGCCTTTTAAAGCACTTAATGGCTACCGACGTGAGTGCTACGGGGCGGTAGTCATTTAGGCAGGTTACCTTCGGTTTCTTGGGCACAGGGACTATGGTGGTCTGCTTGAAACATGTAGGTATTACAGACTCGACAGGGAGAGGTTGAAAATGTCAATGAAGACACCAGGTGGTCCGCGCATGCTCTGAGTACACGTCCTGGTAACCGTCTGGCCCCGCGGCCTTGTGAATGTTTACCTGTTTAAAGGTCATGCTCACATCGGCTACGGAGAGCGTGATCACACAGTTGTCCGGAACAGCTGGTGCTCTCGTGCATGCTTCAGTGTTGCTTGCCTCGAAGCGAGCATAAAAGGCATTTAGTCCATCTGGTAGGCTTGTGTCACTGGGCAGCTCGCGGCTGGGTTTCCCTTTGTAGTCCGTAATAGTTTGCAAGTCCTGCCACATCCGACGAGCGTCAGAGCCAGTTTAGTAGGATTCAAGCTACCTGTTTGACGGTTCGTCTGAGGGCATAGCAGGGTTTCTTATAAGCGTCCGGATTAGTGTCCCACTCCTTGAAAGCGGCAGCTCTAGCCTTTAGCTCGGTGCGGATGTTGCCTGTAATCAATCCATGGCTTCTGGTTGGGATATGTATGTACGGTCACTGTGGGGACGACGTTGAGCCAGTGACTGAGGTGGTATACTCCTCAATGCCATTGGATGAATCCCGGAACATATTCCAGTCTGTGCTAGCAGAACATTCATGTAGCGTAGCATCCGCGTCATCTGACCACTTCCGTATTGAGCGAGTCACTGGTACTTCCTGCTTTAGTTTTTGCTTGTAAGCAGGAATCAGGAGGATAGAATTATGGTCAGATTTGCCAAATGGAGGGCGAGGGAGAGCTTTGTATGTGTCTCTGTGTCTGGAGTAAAGGTGGTCTAGAGTTTTTTTTCCTCTGGTTGCACAAGTGACATGCTGGTAGAAATGAGGTAAAATGGATTTAAGTTTGCCTGCATTTAAAGTCCCTGGCCACTAGGAGCGCCGCTTCTGGATGAGCATTTTCTTGTTTGCGTATGGCCTTATACAGCTCGTTGAGTGCGGTCTTAGTGCCAGCGTCGGTTTGTGGTGGTAAATAGACAGCTACGAAAAACATAGATCGTGTGGTCTACAGCTTATCATGAGGTACTCTACCTCAGGCGAGCAATACCTCGAGACCTCCTTAATATTAGACATTGCGCACCAGATGTTGTTGACAAATAGACACCCTCATCTTACCAGAAATAGCTGTTCTGTCTTGCCGATGCAAGGAAAACCCAGCCAACTCTATATTATCTGTGTTGTCGTTTAGCCACGACTCGGTGAAACATCAGATAGTACACTTTTTAATGTCCCGTTGGTAGGATAGTCTCGAACGGAGCTCATCCAGTTTATTCTCCAGTGATTGCACGTTGGCTAATAGAACGGATGGTAGAGGTGGGTTACCCACTCGCCGACTAATTCTCACCAGGCACCCTGATCTCCGCCCCCTGTATCTCCGTCTTTTCTTCATGTGAATGACGGGGCTTTGGACCTTGTCTTGGAGCAACATTATATATTTCGCGTCCGACTCATTAAAGAAAATCACACATGATTGTGAGTCGCTTTGGATAAAAGTATCCCTATTACTGTGTTGGATCAGATATAGGGTTGGGGTCAGAGGTGACAGCCAGGGTGAATGATATTTCTTATCTCTCTGTTCTCTACAGGAGCGTCCCTGAAGTCCAGACCAGCCTGGAGGAGCAGCATCAACAGAAGCAGACCAGGGCGAACAGTGGTCAGCCATACCCAGGGAGAGAGGCAGGTGCCTGGGCGAACGAGGAGCGTTCAGTGCTCTCCCTCCTGGTTGTCAGACAGGACGGGACGTCTCTGTTTATCCCCTGACCTCAGCCTTAACTTGACCCCGACTCTGACCCTGGAGAAGACCCAGCTCTCCAGCCATGTGAGGTCCCAGGCCATGGGGTGAGAGGCCTTGCCCCAATCATAGATATAGACCTCACCTGTGTGTGTGTGTTTGGTTCATGAACAGTGTGTGTAACGCGTTTGTGTGTGTGTGGGTGGGTGTTTGGTTCATGGCCAGTGTATATAATGTGTGTGTGATAATGTATGGTTTCAGGGACAGTGTGAACAGAGGAGGTTTGTCCACTTCCACCAGCAGCAGACCCAGACCCTCTCTCTCTCCATCACCACCTCTTCTGCTACTGCTGTCCAACAGGATACCTGCCTACGAGGTGAGACATTTGGAGCAGGGGGAGTACTGATATGGTCAAATATTTAGGTTATCAATTACTTACAGGTTTCAGGTCAATTCAATTTTCATTCAGCATTGACGAGAATTGGAATGAGTGAATAACATCTCTTCTCTCCTCTCGTAGTTGGTCCTGTGTGGTGTGAGAGTAGGAGTGGTGGTGGTTCTATACGACCACAGAGGGACCCTCCAAGGCTCTGTTATCCCAGGCAGAGAGGGCTCTGGGTGGGCAGCGAGCTCAGAGACTGGGGGTGCTGGCTCCTGGAGGTACGGAGGAGATCACTCTGCTGCAAGGTGAGGATGGAACACTGGGTCAGGGTCATAGTTCACTGAAGGTCATAGTCACTGTTTGACCTTTGATGTCTCTTTGACCCCCAGGCTGCAAGGTGACAGAGAGGAGTGTGCTGACACCTGACTCCAGGGAATTCTGGGAGAAGCTATGTGGCTGGGTCGTTCCACCTGAAGAGGGAGGAGGGGTGGACGTCTTCTGTCCCCTCGCAGCATCTGGTGTGTAGATCAAGAGAGAGAATGGTTTATTTTCAATTACATGGTATCAGTAGCAGCTAACACAATACAAAATATATCCATCCACACAATAAAATCTACAAATGAATCACTCAGTCACTCGAGCACAGAGAAAAACTACAAACCGACGGCACTAACACACATTCCCATTCCTCTCTCGCTCTCCTCTCTCGCTCTCTCCCTTTCCGCCTCTCTCTCTCTCTCTCCCTCTCCGCCTCTCTCTCCCTCTCCGCCTCTCTCTCCCTCCCCCTCTCTCTCCCTCTCCGCCTCTCTCTCTCTCCGCTCCCGCCTCGCTCTCCTCTCCTCCTCCTCGCTCTCTCTCTCCCCTCTCTGCTCTCTCTCCTCTCCCCCCTCTCTCTCCCTCTCTGCCTCTCTCTCCCTCCCCCTCCATCTTCCCCTCTCCGCCTTTCTTCCCCCCCCCTCTTCGCGCTCCACCCTCCCCCCCCCCCTCTCTTCCGCCTCTCTCTCTCTCCCTCCCCCTCTCATCTCCTCTCCGCCTTTCTCTCCCTCCCCCCCTCTCTCTCTCTCGCCCCCCCTCCCCTCTCTCTCCGCGCTTCTCTCTCCTTCCCCCCCACCCCTCTCTCTCTCTCTCTCTCCTCTCCCCCCGTCCCCCCCCTCCCCTCTCTCTCCTCCTGCCTCTCTCTCCTCACCCCCCCCTCTCTCTCTCAGCCAGAGGGGTGCTGCTGGTCCAGTCTCTGTCTACTCTGACAGGGTTGGAAGTCTCAGCTCCTACTGGGATGGCCACTGGAAGCTTCCAGAACAGTGAGTCAGGGAGGAAGGGAATCATTTCAATTGCGTTGATCAAACCCCAACCCTAGCAAGTTATTGTATATCAAGTTTGAACATCTATTGACCATATTTAACAAGGGGCCAATCCAAATGAAGTGAGACCACCACTCGCACTTTAAAGGCTCTCACCCTTCGTCTCTCTTTCTCTCTCCCCCCTCCCTCCAGTCCTGAGTGAGTGGTCGTGTAGCAACGGTGCCGGTGACAGGGCTGGGAGCGGGGTTAGGGGTGTGTGTGCGTCCCCTGGCCAGCACTATGTGTGTGAGGGTGTGTTACAGGGTTGGAGCTGGCAGACCCAGTGGCTAGAGGAGGCTCTAGGAGCCCTGAGGGACCATCTGGGGCCACAACTACCACAACTGAGTCTGGACACCAGGGGTCGAGTTCTGGGTACGAAACACACACACACACACACACACACACACACCCGAGGTCAGTTTCAATGGCCCTAGAGCAGCTGAGTGTACAAAACATTAGGAACACCTTCCTAATATTGAGTTGCAGCCCCTTTTGCCCTCAGAACAGCCTCAATTCGTTGGGGGCATGGACTCTACAAGGTGTCAAGTGTTCCACAGGGATGCTGGCCCTTGTTGACTCCAATGCTTCCCACAGTTGTGTCAAGTTGGCTGGATGTCCTTTGGGTGGTGAACCTTGATACACCTGGGAAACGGTTGAGCGTGAAAAACCCAACCTTGCCCATTCACCCTCTGAATGGCACACATACACAATCCAAGTCTCAATTCTCTCAAGGCTTAAAAATCCTTCTTTAACCTGCCTCCTCCCCTTGATCTACACTGATTTGAATGGATCATAGCTTTCACCTGGTCAGTCTATGTCATGGAAAATCGTGGAAAGAGCAGGTGTTCGTAATGTTTTGTTCCTAGGTCAGTTTCTATGGGAGGCGGTAGCACTAGAGCATCTGAGTGTCTCTAAACTCTGTTCCTAGGTCAGTTTCTATGGGAGGCGGTAGCACTAGAGGATCTGAGTGTCTCTAAGGAGGTGACTGTAGCTCTGACCGAGGGTCTCACGGCATTAGCAACGGAGGTGAGTTCTGCAACAAAACACTTCATTCCAAATGGCTTCTTTATTCATCTTTGACCTATCCTTCTCTCTCGCCCTCCTCCGTGCCTCAGACCAGACCTCTGGAGTTCCTCTCTCTCTTCCTGAGAAGATGGGGGGAGAAAAGGAAAGATCTAAATGGAGGAGGGGAGGAAGGAGATGAGAGAAGAGGAGGAGGAGGAGGAGAGAGGACAGAAGGAGGAGGAGAGAGGAGAGAAGGAGGAGGAGAGAGGAGAGAAGGAGGAGGAGAGAGGAGCTCTGTGTTTCTGACAGAGAGGGGTACACACAGACTCCACAGTCCTAACCCAGAGATACACCAGGTGTGTGCTCCTTAATGTTTGACTTTTAACGTCAGATCTGAAATTATACCCACCCACCCCCTCTCTCTCTCTCTCTCTCTCTCTCTATCTCTCTCTCCCTCTCCCTCTCTCTCTCTCTCTTTCTCTCTCTCACACTCTCTCTCTGTCTCGATCTCTCTGTCTCTCTCTCTCTCTCTGTCTGTCTGTCTGTCTGTCTGTCTGTCTGTCTGTCTGTCTGTCTGTCTGTCTGTCTGTCTGTCTGTCTGTCTGTCTCTCTCTCTATCTCTCTCCCTCTCTCCCTCTCTCCCCCTCTCCCTCTCCCTCTCTCCCTCTCTCTCTCTCGCTCTGTTCTGTGTCTAGGAGTGGCGTGGTGTAGTGGTGAGGGAGCTGTATATGAGTGAGTGTGTTTATGTGAGGAGGCTGGAGTCAGTGAAGAGGGTCTACCATGATCCCCTGCTGTCAGCTCTTCAGTCCAACAGAGCCATCCTCAGCTCTGCTCACATCAACATGGTCTTCACTCCTCTTGCACACATACTGGACATCAACAGGTACAAGCACGGACGCACGCACGTACGCACGCACGTACACACACTCTCTCTCCCTTTCTTTTGATACCATTGTATGTGTGTGTGTCAGGTTGTTTCTGTCAGAGCTGGGGCCTAGATTGCAGCAGTGGGAGGCTGGACAGTGTGTAGGTGATGTGTGTGTGAAATTCTGCTCCAAACTCAGAGTGTACACCAATTACCTCAACAACTACCCTACTGCCCTACTCACCATAGACAAGGGAAGTACTCCTCTTCTGCTCTCTCACTCACTCACTCACTCACTCACTCACTCACTCACTCACTCACTCACTCACTCACTCACTCACTCTCACACTCTCCAACACACGCACAGGTGTTTGTATATTGTATGTGTTTGTGTTTTGTGTTGCAGTGCAGAGAGATGAACCCTGCTTTCCGAGCATTCCTAAAGAGACATGACAGAACCCTGGAGACACACATGCTGAGGTATGTTAGTGTGGTATACTAAAGCTCTGGGTTGTGTTAGTGTGGTATACTAAAGCTCTGGGTTGTTAGTGTGGTATACTAAAGCTCTGGGTTGTTAGTGTGGTATACTAAAGCTCTGGGTTGTTAGTGTGGTACGCTAAAGCTCTGGGTTGTGTTAGTGTGGTACGCTAAAGCTCTGGGTTGTTAGTGTGGTATACTAAAGCTCTGGGTTGTTAGTGTGGTATACTAAAGCTCTGGGTTGTTAGTGTGGTATACTAAAGCTCTGGGTTGTTAGTGTGGTACGCTAAAGCTCTGGGTTGTGGTAGTGTGGTATACTAAAGCTCTGGGTTGTTAGTGTGGTACGCTAAAGCTCTGGGTTGTTAGTGTGGTATACTAAAGCTCTGGGTTGTGTTAGTGTGGTATACTAAAGCTCTGGGGTTGTTAGTGTGGTATACTAAAGCTCTGGGTTGTGTTAGTGTGGTACGCTAAAGCTCTGGGTTGTTAGTGTGGTATACTAAAGCTCTGGGTTGTGTTAGTGTGGTATACTAAAGCTCTGGGTTGTGTTAGTGTGGTATACTAAAGCTCTGGGTTGTTAGTGTGGTATACTAAAGCTCTGGGTTGTTAGTGTGGTATACTAAAGCTCTGGGTTGTTAGTGTGGTATACTAAAGCTCTGGGTTGTTGTTAGTGTGGTATACTAAAGCTCTGGGTTGTGTTAGTGTGGTATACTAAAGCTCTGGGTTGTGTTAGTGTGGTACGCTAAAGCTCTGGGTTGTGTTAGTGTGGTACGCTAAAGCTCTGGGTTGTGTTAGTGTGGTACGCTAAAGCTCTGGGTTGTGTTAGTGTGGTACGCTAAAGCTCGGTTGTTGTTAGTGTGGTATACTAAAGCTCTGGGTCGTGGTAGTGTGGTATACTAAAGCTCTGGGTTGTTAGTGTGGTACGCTAAAGCTCTGGGTTGTTAGTGTGGTACGCTAAAGCTCTGGGTTGTTAGTGTGGTATACTAAAGCTCTGGGTTGTTAGTGTGGTACGCTAAAGCTCTGGGTTGTTAGTGTGGTATACTAAAGCTCTGGGTTGTTGTTAGTAATTTGCTGATTTGATATGAGAAATGTTAATACATGTGCTACCATTCTGCCTAGCTTTTTTCACGGCAGTGTTTCTTTTTGTGCGTGTGTGTGTGTGTGTGTGTGCGTGTGTGCGTGTGTGTGTGTGTGTGTGTGTGTGTGTGTGTGTGTGTGTGTGTGTGTGTGTGTGTGTGTGCGTGTGCGTGTGCGTGTGCGTGTGCGTGTGCGTGTGCGTGTGCGTGTGCGTGTGCGTGTGCGTGTGCGTGTGCGTGTGCGTGTGCGTGTGCGCGTGCGCGTGCGCGTGCGTGCGTGCGTGTGCGTGTGCGCGTGCGTGCGTGCGTGTGTGTACGTGTGCGTGTGTGTGTGTGTGTGTAGTCTGCAGGAGCTGTTTTTGTGTCCAGTGTGGCGTCTGGAGGAGTATGTGACTCTGCTGCAAGCACTGTCTCTACACACACTCTCCCAACACTCCGATCACACACAGCTGTCTGGCGTAGTGGACACACTCACCCGCTACAGGGACTTCATACGCAAGGTAGAACACACACTCACCCAACACTCCGATCACACACAGCTGTCTGGCGTAGTGGACACACTCACCCGCTACAGGGACTTCATACGCAAGGTAGAACACACACTCACCCGCTACAGGGACTTCATACGCAAGGTAGAACACACACTCACCCGCTACAGGGACTTCATACGCAAGGTAGAACACAAACTCACCCACTACAGGGACTTCATACGCAAGGTAGAACACAAACTCACCCGCTACAGGGACTTCACACTCAAGGTAGAACACAAACTCACCCGCTACAGGGACTTCATACTCAAGGTAGAACACAAACTCACCCGCTACAGGGACTTCACATAGAACACAAACATAAGCATCAACACAGACACACCACCCCTGACCAAACCCCAGCTCTAGTCAGAATTATATTATTAACCCTCTATCTGTCTCTCGCTCTGTCTCTCGCTCTCTATCCATCCATCCATCCATCCATCCATCCCATCCCATCCCATCCCATCCCATCCCATCCCATCCCATCTCATCTCATCTCATCTCTTTCTCAGCTGAAGAGGAACTCAGAGAAAGCCATGAGGATGCAGGAGACCCAGAGAATGATCCGGGGCTGTCCAGTAAGCCTCTAGCATTCTACAACCTAATAAACTATACTGAAGAAAAATAGAAACGCAACATGTAAAGTGTTGGTTTCATGAGCTGAAATAAAAGATCCCAGAAATGTTCCATATGCACAAAAAGCTTATTTCTCTCAAATTTGGTGCACAAATTTGTTTACATCCCTGTTAGTGAACATTTCTCCTTTGCCAAGATAATCCATCCACTTGACAGGTGTGGCATATCAAGAAGCTGATTAAACAGCATGATCATTACACAGGTACACCTTGTGCTGGGGACAATAAAAGGCCACTCTAAAATGTGCAGTTTTGTCACACAACACAATGGCCACAGATGTCTCAAGTTTTGAGGGAGCATGCAATTGGCATGCTGACTGCAGGAATGTCCACCAGAGCTGTTGCCAGAGAATTGAATGGTAATTTCTCAACCATAAGCCGCCTCCAACGTCGATTTAGAGGATTTGGCAGTACGTCCAACCGGCCTCACAACCTCAGACCACGTTTAACCACACAAGCCCAGGACAACCACGTCCGGCTTCTTCACCTGCGGGATCATCAGAGACCAGCCACCTGGACAGCTGATGAAACTGTGGGTTTGGACAACCGAAGAATTTCTGCACAAGCTGTCAGAAACCGTCTCAGGGAAGCTCATCTGAGTCTTGACCTGACTGCAGTTTGGCGTCGTAACTGACTTCAGTGGGCAAATGCTCACCTTCAATGGCCATTGGCACGCTGGAGAAGTGTGCTCTTCACGGATGAATCCCGGTTTCAACTGTACCAGGCAGATGGCAGACAGCGTGTATGGCGTCGTGTGGGCGAGCGGTTGCTGATGTCAACGTTGTGAACAGAGTGCCCCATGGTGGCGGTGGGATTATGGTATGGGCAGGCATAAACTACAGACAACGAACACAATTGCATTTTATCGATGGCAATTTAAATACCGTGACGAGATCCTGAGGCCCATTGTCGTGCCATTCATCCTCCGCCATCGCTTCATGTTTCAGCATGATAATGCACGGCCCCATGTCACAAGGATCTGTACACAATTCCTGGAAGCTGAAAATGTCCCAGTTCTTCCATGGCCTGAATACTCACCAGACATGTCACCCATTGAGCATGTTTGGGATGCTCTGGAACAACTTGTACGACAGTGTGTTCCAGTTCCCGCCAATATCCAGCAACTTCGCACAGCCATTGAAGAGGAGTGGGACAACATTCAACAGGCCACAATTAACAGCCTGATCAACTCTATGCAAAGGAGAGATGTCAAGCTGCATGAGACAAATGGTGGTCACACCAGATACTGGCTGGTTTTCTGATCCACGCCCCTACATTTATTTTAAGGTATCTGTGACCAACAGATGCAGATCTGTATTCTCAGTCATGTGAAATCCATAGATTAGGGCCTAATGAATTTATTTCAATTAAATGATTTCCTTATATGAACTGTAACTCAGTGAAATCTTTGAAATTGTTGCATGTTGCGTTTATATTTTTGTTTGTGTACAACTGTAAACTACAACTACCTCTACTAGTGATGTTGTCAACCAACCCGTCTATAGGTACTAGTGATGCACGGGTTGACTCATAACTCATAACCTGCAGTCCTGGTGGTTATATCCGACTCATAACTAATAACCTGCAGTCCTGGTGGTTATATCCGACTCATAACTAATAACCTGCAGTCCTGGTGGTTATATCCGACTCATAACTCATAACCTGCAGTCCTGGTGGTTATATCCGACTCATAACCTGCAGTCCTGGTGGTTATATCCGACTCATAACTCATAACCTGCAGTCCTGGTGGTTATATCCGACTCATAACTCATAACCTGCAGTCCTGGTGGTTATATCCGACTCATAACTCATAACCTGCAGTCCTGGTGGTTATATCCGACTCATAACTCATAACCTGCAGTCCTAGTGGTTATATCCGACTCATAACCTGCAGTCCTGGTGGTTATATCCGACTCATAACCTGCAGTCCTGGTGGTTATATCCGACTCATAACTCATAACCTGCAGTCCTAGTGGTTATATCCGACTCATAACCTGCAGTCCTGGTGGTTATATCCGACTCATAACTCATAACCTGCAGTCCTGGTGGTATATCCGACTCATAACTCATAACCTGCAGTCCTGGTGGTTATATCCGACTCATAACCTGCAGTCCTGGTGGTTATATCCGACTCAAACTCATAACCTGCAGTCCTGGTGGTTATATCCGACTAATAACTCATAACCTGCAGTCCTGGTGGTTATATCCGACTCATAACTCATAACCTGCAGTCCTGGTGGTTATATCCGACTCATAACCTGCAGTCCTGGTGGTTATATCCGACTCATAACTCATAACCTGCAGTCCTGGTGGTTATATCCGACTCATAACTCATAACCTGCAGTCCTGGTGGTTATATCCGACTCATAACTCATAACCTGCAGTCCTGGTGGTTATATCCGACTCATAACTCATAACCTGCAGTCCTGGTGGTTATATCCGACTCATAACTAATAACCTGCAGTCCTGGTGGTTATATCCAACTCATAACCTGCAGTCCTGGTGGTTATATCCGACTCATAACCTGCAGTCCTGGTGGTTATATCCGACTAATAACTCATAACCTGCAGTCCTGGTGGTTATATCCGACTCATAACTAATAACCTGCAGTCCTGGTGGTTAAATCCGACTCATAACTTATAACCTGCAGTCCTGGTGGTTATATCCGACTCATAACTATAACCTGCAGTCCTGGTGGTTATATCCGACTCATAACTCATAACCTGCAGTCCTGGTGGTTATATCCGACTCATAACTCATAACCTGCAGTCCTGGTGGTTATATCCGACTCATAACTCATAACCTGCAGTCCTGGTGGTTATATCCGACTCATAACTCATAACCTGCAGTCCTGGTGGTTATATCCGATCATACTATAACCTGCACGTGTATATCCGCATAACCAACGTCACCTGGTGGTTATATCCGACTCATAACTCATAACCTGCAGTCCTGGTGGTTATATCCGACTCATAACTCATAACCTGCAGTCCTGGTGGTTATATCCGACTCATAACTATAACCTGCAGTCCTGGTGGTTATATCCGACTCATAACCATAACGCAGTCCTAGTGGTTATATCCGACTCATAACTCATAACCTGCAGTCCTGGTGGTTATATCCGACTCATAACCTGCAGTCCTAGTGGTTATATCCGACTCATAACTCATAACCTGCAGTCCTGGTGGTTATATCCGACTCATAACCTGCAGTCCTGGTGGTTATATCCGACTCATAACTCATACCTGCAGTCCTAGTGGTTATATCCGACTCATAACCTGCAGTCCTGGTGGTTATATCCGACTCATAACCTGCAGTCCTGGTGGTTATATCCGACTCATAACTATAACCTGCAGTCCTAGTGGTTATATCCGACTCATAACCTGCAGTCCTGGTGGTTATATCCGACTCATAACCTGCAGTCCTGGTGGTTATATCCGACTAATAACTCATAACCTGCAGTCCTGGTGGTTATATCCGACTCATAACTAATAACCTGCAGTCCTGGTGGTTAAATCCGACTCATAACTTATAACCTGCAGTCCTGGTGGTTATATCCGACTCATAACTCATAACCTGCAGTCCTGGTGGTTATATCCGACTCATAACTCATAACCTGCAGTCCTGGTGGTTATATCCGACTCATAACTCATAACCTGCAGTCCTGGTGGTTATATCCGACTCATAACTCATAACCTGCAGTCCTGGTGGTTATATCCGACTCATAACGCATAACCTGCAGTCCTGGTGGTTATATCCGACTCATAACTCATAACCTGCAGTCCTGGTGGTTATATCCGACTCATAACTCATAACCTGCAGTCCTGGTGGTTATATCCGACTCATAACTCATAACCTGCAGTCCTAGTGGTTATATCCGACTCATAACTCATAACCTGCAGTCCTAGTGGTTATATCCGACTCATAACTCATAACCTGCAGTCCTGGTGGTTATATCCGACTCATAACCTGCAGTCCTGGTGGTTATATCCGACTCATAACCTGCAGTCCTGGTGGTTATATCCGACTCATAACTCATAACCTGCAGTCCTAGTGGTTATATCCGACTCATAACTCATAACCTGCAGTCCTAGTGGTTATATCCGACTCATAACTCATAACCTGCAGTCCTGGTGGTTATATCCGACTCATAACTCATAACCTGCAGTCCTGGTGGTTATATCCGACTCATAACTCATAACCTGCAGTCCTGGTGGTTAAATCAGCGGGGCGGGCGGGTTTAAGGTCATTAAATATTGTGTGGATGAAAGGCGGGTGGGTGGCGGGCAGGTTGAATAAAGAGAAAACAATGCATTAAAAACCCATAAATATATAATTATTGTGCTACATTGAGGTTTTTCTTTCATTATTTTTTATCTGGCATTAGTGCTTATAGCCTATGCTTTAGTGCTATACGCTCGCCAAATGCTTGGGGAAAAAGTTAAATTGATCAACTGAGGCAAAAAGGACAATGTTGGAGTTTAATTCAAGAGAAAAGCTGCGAAATGGAGAGTTGAAAATAAAGAGAAGGGAGGACCAGAACAGTTTGGGAAAGATTTGGTGAAGTGGTAAAAGAGGATGATATCAGTGCCGGCTACGTTATGTGTGATGATTGTGAGGCGCTATACAAGTTCGACGGTCACAAGACTGGGACTTCAAAATGGCACGTAAAGGGAACTGTACTGTTCAAATGGGTTAAATGGAATAGTAGTCTAACTGAAATCTGGACACTGACTATAACCTCTCACATAGCCTAATATTAACTGCTGCCGAATTAAGCATTTCTTGCAGTAAAATGATACACCAAATGTAAATTTTGACATGGAACAGGAGTGGAGAAATATGATTTATTTATTTCAGCATCTAGACAGAATGAATGCGCGGTTACGGCCACCTGTGAAGGTGCTATCTTTATTAGCGTCATAAACGCTGATAGTATTTCAACCACATAAAAAATGCATCCAAGCCGAACTGAAATCTTATCAGAAACGTGTTGAGTAGTTTTCACAGCTTTTACATTTCCTTAAAACCGGACAAACTGAATTTTGCACGGAAAAATCTTTTTTTGTTATTGCATTTTCTTCCCGGTCCGTAAACATATTTGCTGCTTGAGAGAGGCAGAGATGAAAGAGAGAAACTTTACCGATGTCATCTATATTGAAGCATTCATTCTATAGATTTAAGATATTATTCTGGTGAGCAAGGGTTTATTTAGTATTCTAGGGTAACAAAGGCAGCGTGTCCATAAAGCTAAGCTTCTTCTAAAGTAAATTGAATTAAATTGCCAAAATTATATAGCCTAATTAACCTACTCCTGTCTATACATAAATACATAAAATCATTCAAAATAGGCTTCTACACCAGAAAGCATGATTTGGCCACAGGGGATCATTAGCTTCTTTAAATAAATAAAAAGCTGTGAATTGTTTTACATTTGGGCAGCGTGAGGGGAAACTACCAAATAGATGATTGTTGAGATGTGACTGTTGACTGTCGGTGAAAAGTAGAGGTCCAGCCAGGAATATCGCACTATTTCAAAATACAATCGCGGGAAAACATAGTTTTGAAATCAAATTGCTCTTGCTGTAAAGAGAAGACAATTAAAATTCTCTAATCTGTCTTTTAGTTATCAAAATTCCCAACTTAATTGAGCGAACAGTTTAGCCAATCTTATTGGCACAAGCGGAAATCATCGGCCATATCTCCGGTGAGTGCGCCTAATCACTCGTTATCATTTTTGTGTCATTGTTGAAAGTTTATTTTTGAACAATAATTTCCTCCTCCCGGTTAGATGGACATCATATTGTATTTGTGTCTCCCCATCTCGTAGGCGTTTTATATGGATCAGACAACGTCGTTTTTATTGATCTGTTTGTCAGTGTCAGCAGAGTAGGCTACACTAATTTTTTTTCATATTAAAAAAATATTCTGCTAATGTCTCCACAGATAAAGTGCAGTAGAATTGCATGAAATGTGTTGCTAAAAGGCAAAAAAAATTAAAAAAAAGGAGAAGAAGAAACGTATCTGATATAAAATAAAACATCAATGTAAATGTTATTTGTCACATGCTTCGTAAACAACAGGTGAAGGCTAACAGTGAAACGCTTACGGGTCCTTTTCCAACCATGCCGAGTAAAAGATGAAAATGATTTTTTTTTTTATTGAAATGGTGACACGAGGAGTAAATACACAGTGAATAACAATGAGGAGTACGCATGACTAAGTCGCATTGGATAAAAGCGTCTGCTAAATGGCATATTATTATTATTATTATAGGAGTAAAAAATAACATGGCTATATACAGGCCTGTAGCCCATAGCCTACTCTATGGAGGACTAAAAGTGCCACAATTAAATAAATAAATACACCATTAAATAATTACTTAAATGTGTCATTAATTAATTAAAATTAGAATTAAATACATAAATGTGTTATTAAATGTGTCATTAATTAATTCAAATACCGATTCATTTTATGTAAAATACATATATAATAATTTCACTATTTACATTTACATTTCATGGTCCTGCGTTGGAGTGCTTCCTGAATTACTTAAAACTGTCAAACTGACCCATCAAAAGTTGGTAGGCGGAACCTAACGCCTGATTGGTTACCCTCTGCATCAAGCCAAGACAAATCAATTCCGGATAATGTCAGCAGGTCCTGCTTCTACATCCTCTGCTAAGTTTAAAATGTCTCTAACCAACTCCCTGGAAAGTTCACGGAGATCCTCCATTGTCTCTATCCAGGTTGGCCTACTCTACTTCAGACCAAAGCAATGGATCAGACTAGATTCGCGTTAGCCCCGCCCACTGACTTTGATGGGTCAGTTTGACAGTTTTAAGTAATTCATGAATCACTGCAATGCAGGATCATGAAATGTAAATGTAAATAGTGAAATAATTATATATGTATTTTACATAAAATGAATCGGTATTTGAATTAATTAATGATACATTTAATTACACATTTATGTATTTAATTCTAATTTGAATTAATTAATGACACATTTAAGTAATTATTTAATGGTGTATTTATTTATTTAATTGTGGCACTTTTAGTCCTCCATACTACTCTACCGCTCAGCCATGGTATTTTTGTATTAGGCTAAATTAGGACTATCCAATCTACTCATCACATTTAAGTCTGCAAATGCGATGATGCTTGGAATGCTTTATTATAAAGGTGCATTTTTTTATAGTGAAAATTAGCTTCCCCAAATTTGAAACTGGGGCGCAGCCTATGGCAACAAGTAATGACAGAAGAGAAGCTGCATGTGTCTAATTATAGACAAGTTGACTAACAAATAGCCTACCAAAATGTTGGAAATTATAAGCAGAAACATAGGGCTATCTCAAAAGGCTTGTCCAAAAATCGCTCCGCCATCTCTGACTGTACAGCGCATTTTCAATATTAGCGGGTTAGGGTCAAGTGCCGGCCTCAGATTTTCACTTTATCACATATGCCGATGGGTTATTAGCAATTGCGGGAGGGTGCGGGTAAACAAACACCTGACCCGCCCATCACTAACCTACTGTCTCAGTAAACCAAAAAGTTGTGATTCGATAATGTGTGTGTGTGTGTGTGTGTGTGTGTGTGTGTGTGTGTGTGTGTGTGTGTAGAACCTTTGTGAGGGGAGCAGACAGCTGATCACCACTCAGGATGCAGCTCTGCTTAAATGCCCCAGTGATGACATCACAGCCTCGCTCAGGTAAGAACCCTCAATAGCCTTTGATGTGAATATGCCTGCATTCTCATCTCTGTGTGATACTAACAGTGTGTGTGTGTGTGACAGGATGTATGAACACGTTTCTGACGTGGGTCTGTTCTTGTTCAACGACGCAATGGTTCTGACCGAGAGGAGTGTGTGTCACCGGCCCTTCACACACACACACTGCGACACACACACCTTCCTGGCCTCCGTCGCCCTGCACAGCCTCACCCTCAGAGAGATCACAGACACGCGCTGTGAGTACACACACACACACACACACACACACACACACACACACACACACATATATATATATATATATACACACACATACTGTACACTGTACACAGTTTATTAGGTACACCATCCCTTTCGCGAAAATGGTTTGCTCCTACAGAGTGATTCACGTGGCTTGCTATATAAAGCAGGCAGACAGGCATCCAGGCATTCAGTTACTGTTCGATTGAACGTTAGAATGGGCAAAACGAGTGACCTAAGCGACTTTGAGTGTGGCGTGATCGTCGGTGCCAGGCGCGCCGGTTCCATTATCTCAGAAACGGACGGCCTCCTGGGCTTTTCACTCACGACAGTGTCTAGAGTTCACCGAGAATGGTGCGACAAACAAAAAAACATCCAGTCAGCGGCAGTCCTGTGGGCGAAAACAGCTGGTTGATGAGAGGTCGAAGGAGAATGGGATGAATCATGCAAGCTAACAGTCAGGCCACAAACAGGCAAATAACGGCACAGAACGCACAACTCGGCGGTCCATGTCACGGATAGGCTATTGCAGCAGACGACCACACCGGGTTCCACTCCTATCAGCTAAAAACAAAAAGAAGCGGCTCCAGTGGGCACGCCATCACCAACACTGGACAATTGAGGAGTGAAAAAACTTTGCTTGGTCCGACGAATCCCGGTTCCTGTTCCGTCATGCTGACGGCAGAGTCAGGATTTGGCGTAAGCAGCATGAGTCCATGGCCCCATCCTGCCTGGTGTCAACGGTACAGGCTGGTGGTGTAATGGTGTGGGGAATGTTTTCCTGGCACACGTTAGGTCCTTTGATACCAATTGAGCAACATTTTCATACCCCAAAGAATTCAGGCTGTTCTGGAACAACGATGGGTCCGACCCGGTACTAGATGGGTGTACGTAATAAACTGGCCACTGAGTGTGTGTGTGTACAGTACCAGTCAAAAGTTTGGACACACCTAATCATTCAAGGGTTTTTCTTTATTTTTACTATTTTCTACATTGTAAAATAATAGTGAAAGATTTTAGATTCTTCAAAGTAGCCACCCTTGCCTTGATGATAGCTTTGCACACTCTTGGCATTCTCTCAACCAGCTTCATGAGGTAGTCACCTGGAATGCATTTCAATTAACAGGTGTGCCTTGTTAATTTGTGGAATTTCTTTCCTTCTTAATGTGTTTGAGCCAATCAGTTGTGTTGTGACAAGGTAGTGGTGGTATACAGAAGATAGCCCTATTTGGTAAAAGACCAAGTCCATATTATGGCAAGAACAGCACAAATAAGCAAAGATAAATGACAGTCCATAATTACTTTAAGACATGAAGGTCCGTCATGTCTGGTACTGTAAATACACACAGACACACTCACAATGAATGCATTAATGCACTAGATTCATTTCTCTTTCTCTTCATTCCTCCTTTCCCTCTCCCTCCCTCCCTCCTCCCTCTCCCTCCCTCCTCCCTCCCTCCTCCCTCTCTCTCTCCCCGTCCCTTTCTCTCTTCCCCTCCCTCCCCCTCCCTCCTCCCTCTCTCTCTCCCCCTCCCTTTCTCTCTTCCCCTCACTCCTCCCTCTCTCTCTCTCCACCCTCCCTTTCTCCCCCCTCCCCCCTGTCTCACTGTAGATGTGTGTAATGGGTTTGTCCTGGAGGGTCCTAGTCGTGTCTGGGTGTGTGCTACAGAGAGGGAGGAGGACAAGGAGAGGTTCCTCTGCACCCTGCGTTCAGCCATACACACTGCCATCACAGAGACATAGGGTAGAGAACACTCACCATAGACAAGGGAAGGGTTTGATACAATCTGGGAAGGGTTTGATACAATCTGTCATTCTTCAATCAACCACTAGGTGACAGGAAAGAGGATTTCTGCAACCAGAGAGTATGAGTCCCCATAGATGACCAAGCTCCAAAGTTAAATTTGACTATATCGTAAAAAAGTATATATTTTTTTTATTGATTTAAGGTTAGGCATAAGGCTAAGTGTGGTTAGGGTAAAGGCTAAGGTTAAAATCACATTTTAAGAAGATATTGTAGAACAAAAAAAAGAAGAAAAAAAACTACACAGGGTTTCTGACTAGACAGGGTTCTGCCAGATAGTGAGGACCTGAGAGTCACTTGGCCAGATAGTGTGGACCTGCGAGTCACTTAGCCAGATAGTGAGGACCTGAGAGTCACTTGGGCAGATAGTGAGGACCTGAGAGTCACTTGGGCAGATAGTGAGGACCTGAGAGTCACTTGGCCAGATAGTGAGGACCTGCGAGTCACTTGGCCAGATAGTGAGGACCTGAGAGTCACTTGGCCAGATAGTGAGGACCTGAGAGTCACTTGGCCAGATAGTGAGGACCTGAGAGTCACTTGGCCAGATAGTGAGGACCTGAGAGTATTCCCACAACAGTCCTATATTCTCTGTATGGTTCATACTTCTTCTGTATCTCTAGTTAACATTAAACATGTCATAACTTGTCTGCCTTGTTCATTTCTTTTGTGACAATATTGTATGTGACCAGTTATGGCCCTGTTCTATTAAAGGTGTTTTTATTCCCTGGGGACATATACAAATATATAAATAAATAAGAAATTAATCAGCTATCCCAAAGGTCTCTGTGTTCCTCCAACATCCATTGGACTGAGAGTTTGATCTCTTACTCTCTCTGTCGCCCTCTCTCTCTGTCGCCCCTCTCTCTCTGTCCCCCTCTCTCTCTGTCGCCCTCTCTTTCTGTCGCCCCCCCCCCCCCCCCCCCCCCCCCCCCCCCCCCCCCCCCTCTGCCCCCCCCTTTTCCCCGGTGCAGTTGGTGATAGGGTTGTTAGGGCCATACAGAAGAAGTAGTCATTGTGTTGGAGTGTGCTTTGTGATTCATCTCTAATCTCACACACACACACACACACACACAGAGAGAGAGAGAGAACATACACCAGGGATGTGGACATATTGATCCTCAGGTGATATCTGCTAGTCCCGAGTGTTCCGCAGTCATCTTTGAGATCCAGACTTGTTGGGTATTCTAGATTAGAATGGTCTGAGTGTTCTAGAGTTGCCTTAGTGTTCTTGAGTGGTCTGAGTGTTCTAGAATGGTCTTCACCCTACACTGGACAGACAGGAGGGGACTGGACAGTTCGCAGGTCCTGCCGTGACGACACCTCTAGGTGACTCAAGTAAGTACATTTCATTTTCTTGTATATTGTATGATTGATTTTCTCTTTCCTATCTTTCTTGTCTTGTGTGAAGTGTAGGCATTGGGAAAAAGGCCCAAATACACATTGATTGAAATGTGAAAAATTATAATAATAATAATAATAATAATATATATGAAGTAATCTACAGTATATCACTTGTGTTTGATTTGTGTTCATGTGTTATGTTGTATGTTAATGTCTTATGTTAATGTATTAATGTGTTGTATGTAATAACTTGTTTGTGAATATAACTATGTGAAAATAAATTTGCCCTGTCATTGACAACCACTATCTTTCAGATTGTATTCAATGACTTCCCAGCAAACCGTAAACATTCCCAAAACATTAGCTAAAATTCCCATTGTTCGAGGTAGGGTTTTATCTAACATTAGGATGATAACATCCAAAAACATTTGAATGTTTTTGATAACAAAATGTTTTAAAAGAATATCCTTGGAATGTTCTCCTAACATTCACTAAAATGTTGTGGACAACATCTAGAACAACCACCACAGAACATTCACCTGACATTGCAAGAACGTTCCCAGAATGCATTTTGTCTGTTCTTTAAAGGTTCCAATAATGTTTCGTTGTGGGAACAGTCTGGTGGGAACATTGTGGAGACATCAAAAAAGATATGTTCCCAAAACACAAAAACTGTCCAGTTGTGCGGATGATTCTACAATGTTTATTTTAGGGTCCAAAAAACAGTCACCTGATGTTACAAGAACGTTTCCAGAACACATTTAAACTGTTCTTTAAAGGTTCCCAGAATGATTCATTCGGTTGTGGGAACATTGTGGAGATATGACAAGAGAGAGGTTCCCAAAACACTAAAACTGTCCAGTTCTGCTGACATTCAGATTTTTTTTGTATCAGAGTGTAAAAAACATTCCTTTGATGTTGTAAGAATGTTGACAAAACTGCCTTTCTGGGTTCTTTAAAGGTTCCCAGAACATTTAATTAGATTGTGGGAACAGTGTGGAGACATTGCAAGAGATAGATTCCCAAAACACAACATTTTACCTTGTCTTGGAGGTCCACAGAACATTTCAAGAACATTTAGAAAATGTTATATTGAAGTTACCTAATATTACCACAACATTCTCAGCATGCACATTTAATGGCAATTCACATTTTAGGACTGGATTGTATATCACCACTACAAGGTGATATAGACTCACAGCATCTTAATTTAATTCATAGGACATTTGAACAGCATTCAATCATACATTCACAACATATTTCTGGCACTTTATATGTGGGGTTTGAACCCACAATGTTTGGTTCCCAAGCCAAGTCTTTTATCCTCTGTGCCACCAGGGGAGCTCTCTTACGTCTTCTTTTTTGAGTATATAGCCATGGCAGTATGGTGAACCACGAATTCCATGCTTCCTTTATATGCTGCGTACTTCTGGCCCAATATTTACAAGTATCCAAGACTATGAGTGCTTATCTAGGATCACATTTTATTTTCAGGTCATGAAAAATAAGACATGGGGACCATATCAAGCGTCTCAAAGTAGGAAATATATTTGGTGTGTTTAAAAAAAAAAAAAAAAAAGTTGAAGAGTACATTTTTACACCAGGGGTCTCCAACAGGTTGATAACGACAGTAGCTCGCAGCCCACCTATGAGTAGGTCGCCAAACAATTCAGAAAGTAAAAGCAATTTTCACTTTCCACCGCAAACTGTCATAAACAAATCTCACAAGTATCAGACACTGCAAGCTCCCAGCTACTATCTAATCAACGCTACATTGACATTATCCCACCCCTGGTTATCCACACAAAAAAAGCCAAACCTACAGTGCCTTGTAAAAGTTTTCCTATTTTGTTGCATTACAACCTGTAATTTACATGGATTTTTGTTTGGATTTCATGTAATGGACATACACAAAATAGTCCAAATTGGTGAAGTGAAATGAAAAAAATAACATTGTCACGCCCTGACTCAGGGGACTCTTATATGTTGAGTCAGGGTGTGTATATTCTTTGTTGTGTATGTTCTATGTTGTACGATCTAGTATGTATGGTTCTATGTTGGCCGGTGTGGTTCCCAATCAGAGGCAGCTGTCGTTCGTTGTCTCTGATTGGGGACCATACTTAGGCAGCCAATTGGCACTAGTGGGTTGTGGGATCTTGTTCCGTGTAACGTTTGTTGCGTGTTACCTTAGGACTTCATGTGTCGTTGGTTTATTGTTTTGTCGTGTGTTTATTTAGTAAATAAACATGTATGCATATCATGCTGCGCCTTGGTCCGTCCCGTCCTTCAACGAGCGTGACAGAAGATCCCACCAGACCTGGACCAAGCAGTGTGCTGAGGAGGAGCAGAGAGGATGGACTTGGCAGGAGATGAGAGAGGATCTGGCAAGAAAGATGGAGGCCCTGATCAGGGTGGAGAGGCAACCCCAATAACATTTTGGGGGGGGGCACACGGGGTGGACGACGAGGCAGCAGGAGGCCGCGATAGGGCGGATCTGCTGGTTAGGAGAGGAGGCCACCAGATTACGGGGGCTATTGGTTCAGAGGGAGCAGGAGGTATTCGGTCAGAGGGAGGCGCTACAGGAGGCTAGAAGGGAGAAGGAAGGTGTAGAGGCACGGCGAGAGGAGCTGGTTAGGCAGCAGAAGGAGCGGGGTTAATAAAGGAACCCAGTCCTGCTCCTCGCACCAAGCAAGTGGTGCATGTCGCGAGTCCGGTCCGGCCCATTCCTGCTACCCGCACCAAGCCAGTGGTGCGCGTCGCCAGCCCGGCCCGGCCTGTTCCTGCTCCTCGCACCAAGCCAGTGGTGCGCGTCGCCAGCCCGGCCCGGCCTGTTCCTGCTCCTCGCACCAAGCCAGTGGTGCGCGTCGCCAGTCCGGCCCGGCCTGTTCCTGCCCCTCGCACCAAGCCAGTGGTGCGTGTTCCTAGTCAAGTCCGGCCCGTGCCTGCTCCTCGCACCAGACCAGTGGTGCGTTTGTCCAGTCCGGCACGGCCCGTGCCCGTTCCACCGGTGCCTGATCCAGCTCCGGTCAGCTGCGCCACTCCGGAGCCAGAGCAGTCTGCTCCACCGGGGTCCAGTCCAGCTCCAGTCAGCGGCTCCACTCTGGAGCCAGAGCAGTCCGCTCCACCGTTGCCTGATCCAGCTCCGGTCAGCGGCTCCACTCCGGAGCCAGAGCAGTCCGCTCCACCGGTGCCAAGTCCAGCTCCGGTCAGCGGCTCCAGTCCAGACCATGATGTCAGCCCCTCTCCAGGTTCGGGGTCTCCCACACCAGGGTCCAGACAGGGCCTGGCGTGTCGTGAGAGGAAGGAGAGGGGAAGTAGCGCGCCGAGGTCCAGACCAGACCAGGGGCGCAACAGGGAGGCGGAGAGTGAGAGGTCGTCACGCCCCGAGCCAGAAACGCCTCCGAGGCGGAATGCCCACCCGGCCCCTACCCTGTTATGTTTATGTTGTGCGGTCGGAGTCCGCACCTTTGGGGGGGGGGTACTGTCACGCCCTGACTCAGGGTACTCTTATATGTTGAGTCAGGGTGTGTATATTCTTTGTTGTGTATGTTCTATGTTGTACGATCTAGTATGTATGGTTCTATGTTGGCCGGTGTGG